CTCTGTCAGATCTGTGCACGTGCCTCTCACAGAGGCGCCATACGTTAAACCTGAACGTTTCCATTGAGTTCACTTTTCCTCCCTATTCCATTCTCCCCTTTGTGGCTCATCTCCAAGGCACCCTGCATGGCTACGGTGAATAATGCAGCCCCCAAGTTTTTCATGATAAAAGTATTTTTCTTTATCGGTCAGCTTCCCAGATAATCCATTTCCTCCCACCTCTTCCCCAGCCCTGCAAGCCAAATGCCCTCCTCCAATGATTGCACAGCTGGATGTGAATGGACGCACAGGCTGGTGTGGGTGAGGGGGCATGAGAAAGGCCAGGGGGTGGGAGTGCAGGGGGAGAAAGCCATTCCCCTCCTTGTCTCCACAGCTGCCTTCCTGCCGGGCTAGCTTGTGGTAGGCAGTGCCCTCCGGAGGGGACAGCAGCATACACAGCTGCATTCTCCCACTCAGACCTCGGCCACTTCTGCCCGAAGGCTTGGCCACAGTCCTCATGGATGATGCTCGCTAGGCTAGTGGACCTTGAGAGAATGCGAAGGGCTGTACAAACAGAGGCAAGAGATGCTGGAGTCTGACACCTGAACAGGCTCTAAGTGGAGGGTGATGCAAGGGGGCTGGGGAGAAGGGCTGGAGAAATGAGTTAATGACCCCCTAGGGTACACTGAGAGATGCCCTTGCCTTTCGGCTTTAATGATTCAAACACACCGCCCAGTTGTCAAAGCCTTTTCACTTCGCGCCCTCAGTTGAATGGTAGAACAACTCTAAGGTACATAAGGCAGATCAATTCCCTTTTGTAGAAGAGGAAACTGAGTCTCAGCAAAGTTTAGTGACTTGTCCCAGAGCACAGAACTGCTAAAAGCCAGGCTTTGAACTAGATCTCAAGGGCATCCCACTCCAGACAACTGCATGCTGACCAGCGGGCATGTTGTGCCATGCCCTGCCCACCCCCACCCCCCTACCTCCCCTGCTCCCAAGAACCTCCCTGGGAACCAGGTGATGCATTTTAGGGAATATTTGAACTTCCGGTACCTGGTATTTGCCATTTTGCTGAGCGTCCATCAATAGGACCCGAGCTATGAAAACTGCTCAGTGGGTCGCAGCTGTCTTCCTGTAGGTCCTGACTCAGTCCCTCAAACTTGTGAGTCTCTGGGCCTGGAGATGCTAATAATGTGTTTTTTTTTTCCTTTCCTCCCACCAGCCCCTCTAGAGAAGTGTGGGCAAGGGTTTCACCAACTCCCAGTAAACCACCTTAGCTTCCCCTGCCATCTTCTAAGCCACTTGACACATAGGAGCCTCAGGTAACACACAGAGGGGCAGGGGAAGGGCGCGGGGGAGATGGGGACAGGGAGGGGGAGGGGGAGAAACCATAAAGCAAGGGGGATACTGACCTTGCAACAAAGTTGAGCTTGTGGGCTCATTTAGTTCTAAATCGGGTGAGGGACATACAGGAGAGAAAAAATGAAAACCAAACCCCATTTTTTATATCCAGTAGCTATATATTTGGCCATATATTAGTTTTGTATCCTCCCTTTTCACAAACCATCTCTGGGAGCAAATGGATAAATAAAAGGAAAGACCCCAACACCCAAGGTGGTGGGACACAATGCAGCGTGGGGGACCACAAAACGTGAGTGCTCTGTGCTTCCGAACTTGGACGTGAAGGCTGGGAAGTGAGGGGGCTGGAGGCCGGCACGTTGTCCAGTGCACTGGACAGACGCTTCCACCCTTAGCTTGTGCTGAGCTGGGTACTGATATGGTAACAAAGGCCTAGCGTTTTTGTGTGTTTTTTTTTTCTAGATGAGATTTCTGTCCCCCACCCCCATCCCATTGTTTCACTTTGGAAAACCAAGTCCAGAAATTTCTGTTCCCAAGGCTCCCGGGCAGGAAGGAGGTCCCCCAGGAGTCTTAGGGGCCAGGTGCTCAGAACCCTATTGGTTCTGGGCCCAGATAGGAAGG